CTGTAATTGCACTTCTTTGTGTAAATGTGTTATTTTCGTCTTCATCTTAAAGTTATTAGAGGGTCTCGGCTCTCGTAATACGACATACGTACGTACTTACGTACTGCCTACTGCCGTACTGGTACTATAGCTCTTGTGTGTGTCGTGCGTGCGCCTTTGCGTGTGCGTGCGCCGTGTGCATATGCGTGTGCGAATGATGATGAATTTGAAATGAAAATGAAAATGAAAATGAATTTGAAATGAAAATGAAAATGAATTTAAAATGAAAATGAAAACGAATTTGGAATGAAAATGAATTTGAAATGAAAATGAAAATGAATTTGAAATGAAAATGAAAATGAATTTAAAATGAAAATGAAAACGAATTTGGAATGAAATTAAATTTAAAATAAAAATGAATTTGGAATAAAAAATATCCGTAGCCATCTCGGCCACCGTACATGAGCGTGACTACATTAAAAAGCGTGCACCTGTACTTTCTCGTCAATTACTTTCTCGGTCAATTACGTTTCGCTACAAAATTGCTTTGTCGTTCAAAGCAGATGAATTGTGTACGTACATTTATTTGCGCTTTGTGCCAATATACGCAGTTGAACTCATGCGTTTTACGAGCTTAAATTTTCCTGTGGCTGTTTGTTCACAGTAATAACTTATTTACCGCGCCCTTTGCGTTCTGGACAGATGAGACTGCGCAGTTTTTCATTGACACTGTCAAGGCCTGAGCGGGCAACTGCCATAGCTATCCTTTTAATGCCTAGCACAGACGTGCGATTTTTTCATGCAACTTGACAGCGAGTCTAGAATCGCTGCAAAAATTACTGTAAAATCGCTACGTCAGCGGGAATGTGCAACTGCAACCCGTAGCGACTCTGGTCGCTTGCGACGAGGTGCAAGAAAGCAAACTTGTTTGAATTTGAGCGGCTCGTCGCTCCCAATCGCTCCTAAATTGCTCTTAAAAAGGAATTTTTTAAATTATTGCGGAACACCATAATCTACTTCTCACGCGCGACTCTACCGCTGACCTACTGCTACAATATATGCTAAAATTATATTCCGAATGTTGAGATTAGTACTAGTGGGCTCCATGTTATTATGTAAGGGAGGCAGTACGTTTTCCATTTTTCATGGAAAACTGTTTCGCAGTATGTCCTCTCTTTGTTAAATACGCAATTCCAACAAAATGATACAGATATTAGGCATGCGCTCGGGTACGTCTGACCCTAGATTCTAACGCGTTTCAATGAGGTTTGAATGATTTGCCGCCTGATAACAAATGGAGTGAGTAATTTGGATCAATATTTTCTATAATTAACTAATGTTGAGTTTGTGCTTTCCAGAAATGTATATGATTCTATCAAAATCATATACACAGGGCTCTGGCTAGAGGGGTGTGTGTGGGGCAGCGGAGGTTGTTTCCGTACCGGTATATATTACAGCTATGGCTGTGGCAAT